CAAGATTTTTTTCTTCATTAAACACAAACCTAATTTTGCCAGGCAGTGCTTTGTTGCTGAGGTTGAACCTTATAATCTAAACTGACCCTCCCAATTAAAATTCAGACACTTGTGAATCTTCCATTTACACTTTAGGGAGGAAAAGAGATAACTAGTAGAAAAGTTGTTATTATTATCTCCAGATGCAGCTTTAAAACTGGTAGAAAATTTTTGCTGCTCAGGCACAAGTTGAGATCAGCTTTACAAGTCTGACAATTATAAAGAGATAGGGGTGCACGAAAGCAGTTGATCCAGAAGCAGGAATGCCATTGCTGTCCTTAGGGACAGTGATCAGCCAAACAGCCAGGACAGCTTTTTAAGGGTGTTCGCTTCTTCCACATTTAGTCACCACTTCTCAGAACAGGAGAGCAAATGAGAAAAAAATAAAATACATCTGTTACCAACTTTGATGACAAAAACCCCTTGCCATAAAATTAGTTTCCTGAGACCGAAGAACATGTTGTGACTGCTGTTATTAATATTTGCATAGCTGTCACAAGCCCAAGCTTTATGACTGTTTACTACTTCAGGGACCACTGACCATTATTGAGGTGCTGGCTACAGTCTGAGTTACTGCTTCTCAATAAATGTTACAGCCTTCAAATTCCATTACCAGTGGAGTCTGAATTACATCTACTCTCAAAATAAAATAAAAATGAGCAGAAACAAGTTATGTGGCTTTGTCACGTATTCCGTTTAGAAATCTGGCCTATGGAAGGCAACAGCATTTTCTGATGGAGTCTTCTTTAACTGATATATAAGACAGGATACACTTAAAGGGTTGGGACTGTCGAAGGCAGTAGAGATGGTAAGTCTGGATGATAAATCATGTCGTCTTACTTGGACAACACTTGAACCCTCTGTTAACAAAGATACTTTATACAAACTTCCTCTGAAAAGATGCATAAACTACTGCTGCTTACGAAAGCCTGGCCAGTTAAGTTTAAGGGTCTTAATGCATTCATATTTTCCAGTCAACTCTGAATTATAGGAAATGGAGAAAAAGTGTGGTATAAACAGTCCCAGTAATTCAACAGAAAATATGCAACATTTGTGTGCCAATATATAATTACTACATACTTCTGAGAAAAAACTGGTACCTGCCCATATTACACCCAGCTCTATTTGTGGAAACAGCTCTAAGCTGAAGGTGTCCTACATCACCACCTTTCTAATGACCCCTTATGCAGCTATGTCACATTTCTGCTTCTCCTTTCTTGAAGGAAAAGGATCCTTTATAGCGAAACAAAGTGCTTTTAGCATCAGGAAATTTAAATGCAGTGTTTTCCCTGCAGGGCTGCAGAGCTCTCTCCCTGCCTGAGCACCCAGCTGTGAGCCCACAGGCATCACAGACACAAGGGTATGGACTAATGGGAACTTAGAGTACATTTTTATAAAGAGAGAAGCAGTACATCTGAAACTGAGAATTTCCTACACGTTTTCTATGTTTGGCAAGTAATTCACTGCTATCCAGTGCTGAAGAACTTGTGTTCTGAGGCGATTAGGATCACCAGTGACAACAATAAAATGGGTCACTGGGTAGTTGCTGGTGGACGTATCACAGACCAGCACATCTTAAGGAACTATTTTTATTGACACAATCACCCCATACAATGTTTTAAAGCCAAGAAATCGTATTTCAAAAGAAGATATTTTGTGTTAGAATCACCAGGTATCAGCATTTTGGGAAAAAAAAAAAAAAAATCCAAGCTTGCTGAATAGGTAACATGCATAATAACACTACTTGAGGAAGCAACTGTGAGACATTGATCCAAATAAACAATCACCTGCTGGGATTTATAGCTTTTCCTCACAGTCATGAAAGTCTTCAAGTGAAATGAATGCTAAAGTAGGGATAATATAGGTGACTTTGACAGAAAATGAAACTAAATGTCTTGTATAATGAGGAGGGCTGCTCCTTCTCCTTTAGAAAATGAAATGGTAAGAGCAGTAACTCCAAAACTCAAACCTTCCCAATGGAAGACCCAAGTAATCTTAGCTCCAGTGCCAGCATAACAGGAGGCACAAAAGGAGAGTGGTGAAATGCATATCAATAAGACAACTTCAAATACCAGTTACAAAGGAAGTAAGGTCACTACTCCTGCTTCCTTAGGAACTCAATTTTTATATAATGTATTCTTGACAACTTGTGATGAATAATGGAAATATGGCAGACCAGTACTCAGCCTGTATCTGAAAAACGTTAGATATGATGGAGGACTTAGTTCTCTACAAAAGTTTTGAGTAAAAGGCATGTGCCAAATTTCATAGTGCTATCTTACTAATTCCACTGAACAGAATACCTCTCAAGGAAACTGCAGGAATTTCCTTTGCTCTAACAGGATTAAATACAGCCTTCAGTACTGAGTTGAGATAAAATACTACTACATTTATACCCAGTATGATATGACCAATGCCTTGTGACCATTTTAGTGAAAAGGACCATAGTGTAAATAGTTCAGTGTCTGAGGCCTCTTACATACAGGTCAGCTTCTGTGGCATCCAAACCCCTGCAATAGAACACACAGCCAACTCTCTAATTGCCATGGAAAGGTAAAGTCGGCTAATTGAGGAAACTGCTTTCTAAACAAATTGAAAATTAATTCAGAGATCATCTAAAATAGTTCTCTGTTACAATCTAGAACTCACATCCATCAGCAGTATCTTGATTCTAAAGAATCCTTCTATCAGTATAACAGTAAGATCATTTTTGTAAGAATTATCACCCTTTAAATGGACACTAAGTAAGTAGTAGACTAACATCAACCACTTGAATATTTTGAACGTGAAATCTGCTATGCTAAAAGACATAGATGAAGAAGAAAATAAAAAAAATATAACCATGAGCCCATTTAGTACTGGTCTTGGAAATTTCAGCCTCTGGACTGTGGTGGCTTCCCTCTCTTAACTTCAAGTCATAGGAAGATTCATATATTTTTAAAATTTCTGTTCTGTGCAGAATCATAAAATTAGCATATAAAATAAAGCTTGTTTTCTCTGAAAAGCTCCCTACTCCATTTATCACTTGAAGATGTTACCTGCTGCTAGAGCACCAAACATAAGAAATATATACAGGTAATGTGAACTTCAGATATTTCCTTGGAAAAGAACAAATCACAGCATAAAAAAGGTTGAGAGCTAAATAATAATCTTGTCCATTTAGGGAGGCAAAAACAGAGGACAATATTAACATCCTAATCCAGTTTCCCCAGTCAAACCTTAGCATTCCTTTTCTGCTGAATAAATTTGAGTGACTTAATTTCTAGATGGAAGAATCTTTTTATGGAAAATTAGCAGGACAGGAAAGGAATGCAGCGGTCAAGCAGCACCAGCTCTGAGGCAGAACTGTCTAAACTGATGAATTTCAATGTGTTTCAAAAAGAAATACAAAAAAATCTGTGCAACCATGGCAGAACAGGGAAGGGAGGGGGGGGGAAAATGATAATAAAAAAAGGTTGTAACCAACGCACAGGGATTCCCCTCATCATGCATTAAAACATATGACCATAAAGGTGAAGCAGCACCAGGAGCTGCAATCTGCCAAAGAGCTGCACATCTTAGGAATACACCACCTTAACAATGTTTGTCTTACAGTGATGACACAGGCACCTTCATGTAGTAAAAGTGAACGGAGTGGGTAATGCATTTACAGTTTCCATTGCCTCATGGGTTTGTTTAAGGAGGCGATTTGACCACTGAACTTGTTCTACCCTCAGAAAATGGGACAGAGTGTAAAAAATACCCCTAATATGAAGAGTAAAAGAGTTAGCCTTCAGGTTTTTTTGTATAGACTAGCACATGCAGAAATGTTAAAAAGCTGCACAAATTTGTCCTTCAACAACGTGTACCACATATTTACAGTGAACATTCACGTATGATTAAGAAAACTCAAGCTTTGCTTAACACAGCAATAAGATTTTTCTGACAATTTGCTCACAAGATGACTGCTTTAATCCAATGACTTTATCATCTATATAAATATATAAATATATATATATACACACATCAGTCAGGTTCCATATTTTAGAAAAACATGGGGCGCTTTTCTCCACCAAAATGGAAATCTGTAGAATATTTGTACTTCTGATTAACTGGCAAGTATTTTGAGCTTGTTTCGGTTTTCCGAGCAGATCACTAGGAATGATGAAATTTTGTTATCATTTTAACAATTTAATTTTAAGGAATTAATTCTGCAAGGGAGTTATAGTCAAAAGCTCCTCATCCACGTAACAAGCTGCTTCATTGATGCAGGGGACAGAAATGCAGCTCTAATAATGGCAAATATAAATATTGCTGTAACTTTGGAGGCCAGCAAGGAATCATGATTGCATTGATTTTTTTGAGTCTGCCACTGCACAGTAGCTCAGTACTCCACAAAACACTGAATGAAATTGATTCCAGTGAAGTCAAAGAAGAACATAAATTCTAATCAAATATACTTAGTCTAAAATGAAGTTTGCAATATTGCAATCTGATACAGTCGTTCCACATTTAAAAAAAATCAGAGGCTAAGAAAGCTAATCATTCACAAAAGATTACATTCAAATATCTAGGTACATACATATTTGTGTACCCTAGGCTGAAGTTATATTACAAATAAACGCATATGTTCAATAATTTTAACTTCAGACTTTAAAAGCAACAGCCTGAAATCTGATTCACTGCTAAAAGCAAAAGCATAGAATTATTTAATGGTCTGGGTTGGAACAGACTTTAAAGTTGTTCTAGTTTCCACCCCCACTGCCATGGGGCCAGGACTTTCCACTAGACCATGTTGCTCAAAGCCCCATCCAGCCTGGCTTTAAAATCATATTAATAATTGCCATCATAGTATAATTCTTATACACAGAAATGAAGCATGCAAATAATACTATTTGTATAATCTCTGTATGAGGGAAAGCATGAAATTCAATGTAAAGCTAAAATAACAACATCTCTATAAGCACAAAACAGCCACTAACCTGTATTTTGATTGGCCAGGAGAAGTTGCTGACATAGACATAGAAGGTGATGTTGGGGTTGCTTCGAAAGTTAAATTTTTCACAGGAAAAGCTGTCTCTGTATTCCTTAATATTAGCCTTGGAAACAACAGGAATCTCTTCTCCAGATATCGTTCCAGCTAAAAAAAAATATTTAAAAACCTCAGATGTAGATGTATGTATTTACGACAAATCATCATTAGAGGTGCCAAAGTAAATTTGCACAAGAAATTTCACTTCTTAATTATTTTTGGTGTCTTCACTCTAAAACTTTAATAACCCCTTATTACAGTTTACATGGCACATTAGGTATATTTCATATACATGCAGTGAATTCACAGAAATTGTTACTTTTGTTTCAAAAGATTATATTTGAATCATTAAAGTGGCAGAAATTATGTGAATTTTAGAAGAAAGTTGAATAGATAACAAGCTTTCCTCTATAATTTACTTTTCCTTGCAGTAAAAACTCATAACTCATTAAAACCTGAAAGTGAATTTGTCTACATCTTACATGGTTGCTGTAGTGTTTTTAATTGTTCATGAAAGCGTTAATAACATAAATACTAATAAACATTTATCATGTTTTGCAAATATATGGGTGACTCTGCTACATTATAATAAAGGAATAAATAGAGTTTACTAACAAGGTATGCTAAAATACTTCAGAGTTTCATTTATGAAGAATTTCATGAGTTTAAGACAAACTCCAAACCTTCTCTAACAGGAGTTTTTTTGGTATGATTACATTTTAAGCATCTTGCTTCTCCTTGGATGTGTTTTCAGAAAGTCAATAGAACCAATTCAGAAAAACTGTCTAAATAAAGCTTCTCTTCCCCCTTCTTAAAACAAAGAAGAGTAATGGGGTTCAAAGCTGGAGAGAAAATAGATAAGCAGCTCCTTTTATCAGCATACACAGAAGAACTTTATTGTTGGATATCAATGTTAAGGTTAATAATTAAATTTTTAGCTTGAACACTGAAACAAAGAAATAAAATCTCAGTCTCTGCAGTAGTTAAGGAAGCAATTTATCTTAATTAAAATCACAGCATTTCATAGCACAGTCATTCTAAAAATTTAAATAGGCTACAAGCTTTTCCCACCAAAGTAATTTTAATTGAATAGGAGAGAAAGTCAACATATTAATGAAGCTTTATTCAGATTGCAAAATTATCATCTGAGGTTTAAATAATATAATTAATAATGGCATAATGATAATGGCAAAAGAACACATTTGGTAAAGTTGTATTATCAAAATTAGCAACAGAGACAATCAGGTTAAAAGAACTTAGAGGATCATGAAATCATATGGGAAAAAGTCATCATACCCAAACTCACTCTCACCTGTAGAACCAATAGACCATGTAATATTGAGGTTGAAGTTGTTTGATGCATTAATTGATATGTCCAAATTTTTATTTGACTAAATTAAAAAAAAAAAAAAAGAAAAAGAAAAAGGAAAAAGTTAACAAAACCTCTCAGAACGTATTGCAGGTAACTCTATGCACACGTAACTCTATTGCACATAACTGAATATACCTTTTAATTATCCGACGGTTTCCATTCTAAACATAAATAGAAATGGTAATTGCCAAAGGCAATTCTCTCTTTTGCTTCAGTAAACATATAACTACACCACTTAGCTTTTTAGATTTCGCTAAGAATAGCAAAATCATTTTCTTTATGAAATGAAAGAAAAAAAACAGATGGCAAACGCCTACATTTTAATCACAAGCCAAAAATTACTTTTCTCATATTTCTTAGCTGAAAAGTATAGCTCTTTATTTCATCTCAGGAAGATACTAAAACTTATTCATGGGAGCAACAATAAAATAAACCAACTGGTAATTTTTCAGACTCTTGAAAGAGCCAAAGTACATTTCCCATTTAGAAAGTTTTCTCAACACTTGTAGGAATAGTTTTTCAGTTCTCAAAAAGATTTGAACTACATCTAAAACTTTATAGACACTTGGGAAACCTGTAATCAATGTCAAATATAATAGAAAACTTAATCATGACTCTTCAAAACTCGACTAAAGTTGTTAACATTTTGTTACCTGTTCTGGATTTGCTATAAAGTTTATGGCAGTGTGATGGCGATCATCCTCTTGTAATAAGCTGAAGGTAAACTGGTAGTCAATCAAAAGGCTGTCTGTGGAGAAAAAAAATTAAAAATAATAAAATAAAGTGTACACATATTATTATATACTATGCAAGCATGTAAAATTTACCATTCGCATTCATTTTAAAATTCATGGAATACTCTACAAGTCAGAATTACTCACACACATTTCACTTTTTAAGTATTTGCACTATAATGTCTTGAAGCAATTACAAAATAAAATCAAGGGGAGCAGTAACCAAAAAAATAAGATCTAGAAAAAATAACTAAATTACTAAATTACACATAACTTGAAAAAACCAGTCTTTGTGATTATCCCAAAATACAGTATCAAGTGTTGCTGAAGTGTTATTAGTTCCTTAATTTCACTCTGAAATAATAATTCCAATATCTGTTCAAAATGGATTTAAATATTTATTTCTTTATTTTAATCATATGCTTTACTGTGTTATATAAATAGTTTACACAGCATCATCACTATAACACAACTTTAGAATTACTAGGTTTAAAAATTTTGGGGAAAAAGTTGCATCTACGCTAAGATTATATAGTATGAAGGCATGATACTATAGGAAATAAAATTGTTAATAACTAAATGGCACCATGGAACTTTTAAGAGAAATTATGTGATCATCAAGTGTTTCCTTTCTAAATTACCAGAATTTTAAGAGGTTTTGTAAGTGGTAAGTGATATATACGTTTCATCCAAGAGAAACAAGTGGTTGTTTAGTATTCCTCAATAAGATTATATTTCACTCCCAACTGGCATTTGTCCTACACATTTTTCTTTCAACCTGTGAATGGAACAAAGCCTGCCAGGCAGCTCCATGCGTTCCGTTTCTATCACTGCTCACTCACAACACCCCAGAGCTGCAGAAGTGCAGAAGAGAGAAACAGTCAGCTTCAGATGGTCCAAACCACGCTCCTTTCTGCAAGGAGCACAAAACACTGGGACAAGTCAGAAGATGCGAGTTTTGAGTTATCCTGTTGTGTTCCTGAAGATGGAGTAATGAGATTAAGCCTTACTGGGGACATAGCTCCAGGAGTGACTGAAAAGGGACTTCTCTGCAAAGGGAAGGGGTAGAAGCAGACTCAGCATCTTCATAATGCAAGAAAAAAAACCAGTCACAAGAAATGCTGTAATTCATAGAGGGAGCCATGCAGAATCCCATTAAGAAGTGCTCAGTACAGTCAGATAGTTATGAACCAGCAGAGCCTCCAGAGATGCAAACTGTGCTAACAGATAAATGGTTCTTGTTCAACAGTTGTGAACCAGAGGTGGGAGTGGTGGATGGATCTTGAATGCTCTGTTACATGGGCAGATATCTTCAGCTCTAACAGAATAAATCTTCTAAATCTTTGACCATTACAGTTCTATAGGGATCAAAAGACTATTTTTCCCCGCTGTCACAGAAAGAAGGTGGTGAATTTTAAGTGCATGTGATTCAGATTATTATTTTATGCATGCTAAAATATGGTTAAAGTGTGGCAATTCATCTTTGATGCTACATCCTAGTGAATAATTTTAAAGTTCTGGTTTGATCTCTGTCTTCATGGCATTCTGCTAGTGACCACCACCACACAAGCAGCGTGTTACAAAGGAAAACTATGTGATCATAAAAACAAAATCAGTAAATACAAAGAGAGGGAGAGATTAAGCCAAAGCAGAAAAAAGCTGTGTCAGGCTTTTGATGGAGTCAATAGTTTGCCTACTGCTGACAATCACCTTTCCTGCAGCAACACATCATCTGAAAAAAACACGCTCTTGTATCTCATGGGAAGGCTGATACAGAAAGAGAAAAAAACCCTTTGGTCAATGAAGCACAAACACAGTCCATTCTATTGTCTTAGTAGTTAAAGAAAATGGGTTTTGTTTGGGTTTTTTTGTTTTGTTTTGTGTGGAAGGAAAAGGTTCATAGAATCGTAAAATAACCTTAGTTGGAAGGGGCCCACAAATGAGTTACATGAAAGGAATTATCATGGCCCTCAAAGATGAAAAGTTATGCAAATCTAGCTATGGAAATCTAATTAATAAGTCTCATTGACTCTATTGTGCCATATCTACATGTTTGACAGTAAGATAACTATTGCACCAGAACATATTTGAAGGTAACAGGACAGGAAAAGATGGCAAGTAGAAATTGACCTCTATAAAATGGATTAATAATCCTTTAATAATCACAAGTCGCAAGGCCAAAAGGCTGGGAATAACGTACAGATATACTAAATCTCCTGATGTCGTCAACTTGGAGTCTCACAAAATACAGATGACTGCTTTAGCCTGAATCTTTGCAGATTTACGGTTAAGATATGGTGGACCAGCACCATAGAATGCACTCCTTCAGAAATTCTGGCTACAGCAAAGGCTACAAGATGCAAGAAGAAGCATAGACAACCCTACTAGACAGGGAATCAACAATTTTCTCATAAGATATGGAAAATTACCATTTAAATATGCTACAGCCTTCTTCTAAGCCCAGGCTGTGCCCTCTCAGAGATGCCGAGTACCAACCAAAAACCAGTAGATGTATATACTTAAGGTCCCATCATAAAACAAAACTGGGAATAGACACGGGACTCTTGTCTCCCAGTAATATGAATGAACAGTTCTTTTGCATACAAGTTTAAAAAAACCTCAGTCATTTACTTTTAAAACATTAGGAATCTTTTTTTTTTTTTTCTGGGTTTTGTTATTGTTTGTTCTTGTTATTTTAAATTTTAAATTTATCATTTGCTTGATAAAAGCCAAGAAAATATGAACTTCTTTTTCAAGGAATGCAGGAAATGCAGGAAAAGTCCTTACATAGATAAAGGATGTTAAACTACACTGTCCCTCATAAATTTACCATCTGTAACAAATAAGTAAAATAAAAAATTAAAAAAAAAAACAACACTTTTTTTTTTTTTTACTGTATTTTTACCTTCAGTACATTGAAACAGTAAATTGTGAAAAACAGTGAGGATTAGTTATGCAGCCCTAAAAACTGGAAAGAGATCTTCACTAAACTATTCAGAAGCACAAACAAACACAAATTATAGCCCTAAATTCCACAGGGACCTGCCATAGGACAACCCACTAAATCTCTGCCTTGGCCACAGAGTGGATGCTGCAAAGCAGAAATACTTATCTCTCCACAGACAATTCTAATTCAGGGAAGATACCTAAAGTGTGTATGACTTGAATGAAGCAGACAGCACTGCCTCCATGCAGTAATGTGATTCAAGAGTGTAAATTAAGTCAGGTGCAAATGAAAGAACTGACACTGAGCAAGCATTCCTTCCTATTTTTCTGAGGACTGCAAAAGTAATGCTGAAGAACTTTCATAGCTTGGAGAAAATGTTGACTTTCATATACAGGATAAGTTCTGGTTGGCCAAAACTTTAGGAAATATTTGTCTGAACCTATTCTTAACTTTAAGATCCCAAATTTCTGGAAGTCTCTAAAGTTAGATTTTATTAGAATATAAATTAGTAGGGGTAATTTAAGAGGAAATGCAAAGTGAAGTAGAAATGAAAAGGCACTGTAAAGAAGACTCTCCTGTATGCATTGCATCCTGCTGCTGTCTGTCTCACTATCCTTCCTCACTCTGCCCATCTGTCTCATTCTATACCTTAGGAGACTCTTGCCCCACGTGTAATCAGCAGCTCTCAGGGAAACTTCACCTCCCTCTCCTCCAGAAGGCTTCACCTTCCACACACTGCAGCAGGCAGAACAGCTTTCCTTCCCACTGCCAAACATCAGTCACTGTGTCCCTGCAGCAGAGCCTTCTCTTTGGAGTTCTCACCAGGAAAATGTATTTATTGAAGGCTGCCGTCTCTTTGTTAATATTAAACACAACTCCTCCACCTTTGGCCTGGCAGGGTGTGTGCCCCATCACCTTAGTGGAGGCAAGGGAGAAGCAGCAGGGAAGAGAGATTCAACTGGCACACAAAGAGACCCTTGGAAGTCAAATTATTAAGCAGGGAGGGGAGGGGGCTTACAGTTTAATTTCTGTTTCCAGGCACTTTGTTCCATTTTGTCTTAGAAATCACTGAATAAAGTACACAAAGATAAGACCACAATACCATCCCGGCATCGTCAGTGGCCAAATATAACAAGGACTTCTGGTTATTGAGTTTTTTCACATCTCTATTTTGATTTCTTCAGAACCCGTGACTGGTTTCACAGTCAAAAAGTCATTAAAATCAATTCAAAATGCCAGTAATGAGCACATGTGAGAACATGACAATAATTAGGCGAAGAAAGATGATAAATTAAATGAGGAAAATAAATTTCAAAGCAATCCTTTAAGCCTAGTATTGCTGGTTATTTTCAAGAAAATATTCTGTTTCTTTAATGCAGGTCCCTGACTTTTTATATGATTAAGATGGTTTAATATGGAAGTTTTATACTCATATCCAACAAGGATCAGACCCATTCCCAAAAATGCCAGAATATTCCCAAAAGAACAAAGGCCAGAAGAACTTCAGTATTTCTGAATGCCACTGGAACTCTGTGAGAATATATAATTACATTGATAATTATTTAAAAAAAATTAAATTGAATATGCTTAGTATAAATTAGTAATAAAGTTACACATGAAAAGGTACCTTACAGAGGAGTATTAAGACTGCAAACTGAACCACTGACATCAAGGGTGCCTGTGAATTATTTTTGGGTGAGTGCTCACTTAATGGGCAGCTATTCAACACTGTGTTCTGTGTTCAGTACCCAGTGTTGGGTCCATGCCTCATTTACTACATGCTACACAAGCCCTTTCCCAAAGATGGAATTAATTTCTAACGTGGCTTTCTACAGTATTCATCACTATCATTTCCTAAGTTCTTCAGAAAAGTTAATGAATTTGTTCCATTACTGGAGATGAGAAGGCATTATTAGTCCCATTTTCCAGGACAGAAAATGAAACAAAGAGACCAAGGACAAAACCATCCGTTAAACACCAACAGCCAATTTGAAATACTTGGAGTTTGACTTTTCTTACTATTTTGAAATATGTAACATTACATATGAACATAGTTATTTTATAGTT